TCAAGGGTAAGCTACTGGGGAATCTTCAGCTGTCCTCAGACTGGAGGCTTTCTCCTTATCTAATCACCTCCCACATTAGATAACACTTTTGCAGTTCTCAGAAAAATATCAAGGGGTTTCTGATATTTGATTGGGTTTACATTTTTTGTATTGTAATTTTTGCATATTCTGCGTAAGCATTTTTGTTGTCACCATTGTATACGTAATTGCATACATTGGGTTGACTGCATTTTCAGTTTCCAAGAGTTTGCTGTCACCTATGGGTGAAATTTTCTTTAATTTTTGCAGAAAGATGGAAAAAAAATGCTGTACATATGGAGTCATCTGTCAGTTCCTTCATCTTAGTGATTTCTCAAGAAGGATATATAACAGTATTTCCTGAAGAATGAAAAAAGACTATTCAGGTGTAAAGCTCAATTACAAAAAACTTGTCAAATGTACAACTCTTCATTCCAGCAAACTATCTAGTAGAAGTTATACAGTAATATAAAGCCTAGAAAGCACACTTATGTAAACTCTGAGACATGTAAATATTCCAAAGTTGAGATCTGGTGAAAAAAAGTGGATTACTCCTTATTTTCTTTCACATAAAGCAAACAAATAATCTATTTGTAAAGGCATTTTTTAAAATCTTATAAATGGAGAAATTAAGAGATACAGGTTATAAACTGTGACATTCTTTGTATCACAGTTCCATCTAATGCACATTTGAGAGGACTATATTAGGTAAAATTCCATTATTATTCTTTTGGAAAATAGTATGAACATGATCCAAACCCTTTCAAAGACTGGAAGGAGGTTCAAAATCATTTCAGGATTAATCTCAGAGTGCATCCATAAACAAAAGCTCAGGTACAGAATTGAAAGAGGTCAGAAACAAATTTATACAAAGATTAATCCCCAGAAAAGCTGAGAGATTTGGTGGAGTTTTGACTCTAAAGACAGTTTGAAAGATGAAGTGAGAAATAATTTGTATTCATCGGATTCCCCTTGTGCTTGAGAAAGTGCACACCTTTGTGCATTCTCTAGTAAGCAAAGATTATTACAACAAAAGAACCCCAATTCACAACAAATTTCTCATTCAAATAGGAATTACCTATAAGATCACAAATTTGGGTTGGCTGCAACAGCCTGACTGGGTAGAGTTTTCATTTTACAAGCTAGGAATGGAAGTAGAAGGAAGTGATGGGCCAAAAGTTACCTCAGTAACAAGGGTGACCAAACTCAAGTAGTAAGTCCAAGGCTACAGCCCTAAGCACTGGTCAATCCAGCCACTGTAAGTAGATTTCTGGTGTCAGAGATAACTGGTTACAGCCTCATGAAAAAACTCAGAGATTTATTTCCATTTCCACTGTCTTGCACATAAATACCCTCTCACACGCTCCCATCCTCTCTGGTCCTTCTCGTCCTGTCAAAGCTACATACCAAAGTGACCTTTTATTTTCTTCTCACTCATTTTTTCTATCCCACAATTGGATTCTGACATTTCAATGATTCAGTCAGCTTTAGCACACTTATAAAATGCACTTATTATAAAAGCTCCTTGCCTCATTTCCTGCAAAGTTTTCTTAAAAAAAAAAACAAAAAAAAAAACAAAACAAAAAAAAAAAAAACCCCAAGCAACAGCCATTGAGACAAAAAAGGCAGAACACATGAGGAAGATACAAAGGTTTTAGTCTATCAGTTTGCATACTAGGGCTTCCCACCTTCCAACCCAACTACAAATCTTATAACCTCTTCAACAGAAAAGGCATCTTCACCATCAACATCATCTTTATTTTTGTCTGAAGAATGCCTAGCAGTGCTGACTTAATGAAACAGCAAAGGATGGTGCTTGTCTTTTACAAAGGGTCAGTTATCTCAATACAAACTGCTACTGAAAAAAATGCAGTCCTGGTTTCACTCTTAACAATGCTCAGCTCAGTCATAGAGCTCACTGACCCAGGCTATCGCTAGACTGGTAGCTGAAAAGATTTTTAAAAAGGGAGTGGATATTTGCAGAATTCTAGACAAGTAATGAAAACACCCAAAGCTGCAACAATGGAGGTTATTAAAAATAACAACAATGTAAGTGTGGTGATAGCAACATCACAGAGCCATGCTATAGGATCAGCTCAGAATGGGCAAAGATTAGGAAAAACGTCTACAGAGATTTTGGTTCGTAATTATCAGTAGAAAGTTTGTCTCATGATTGCCTGCTGTTGATAAACACAATGTGGTGAATGTTGGTTCTGTATGATAATTTCCATACTCTTAATTCAGAAGTTGATTTTAAGGTAAGAAATTAAAGTAACCCAAATAATTTACGCCACAAGTCTTTGTGCTTGATATTAATTTAAAATATAAATTTCTAGAGCTATAATACAAACTGGATTTAGACAAACTAGACTTTCTCCAGACTTAAATTTCTTTATCTATCTAAAAGTGCTTTGGAATGTTTGCACAGAGTTCATCAAATCTCTTGGTAGACTGCAACAGCATCATTATAAAAACTATTCAAAATTCCAAACACTTTATTTTGTACAGTGCTCCCAGAGGTACAAGGATATTTAGAAGCCAGTTGAATGGTGACCTGTACGCTATTTCAGAGTATATGTTTTCTGTCTAAAATCCAGGGCATGCATATTTCCAAAATATGCTTCTGAAGATACTTGATACATCTTATCAAACATTTTATTTCCACAAGTCCTTCTTTATAAGTGATAAATGGCAGTTGAAATATGACTGTCAGTGACTTTAATGTAAGGCTTCAAATGCAGCCTCAGTTCATTTCTTATCCATTTTTTCTCCAGTGAAGCCTGTTGCATTAAACTACTTTTTTTACTGAGAAATTAATTTTAATTTGATAGAGTGGCAGGACTGCTGCATTTCAATAGGAGGCAGTTATTTCCAAGCCTACATCCACAAGTGGATTTCATGAATATTCCACATACCTCCAAGAGTAGCTGAAACCTCCCCTATAAAATCAACAGCCAAAACCCTCTTAGACTTTATAGTCTCTAGTTCAGCTCTTTATTCTCAGGCAGCAAGGAGGGAAAGGAGGGGAGTAGATTTTGCTCTAGGATAGCTTTTTTTCTGCATTTATGTTTTATATCTATTCCTTTTTATGTTTTAATAAGTGTTTATTGGGTTAAAAGAAGAGGAAGAGGTATTCCTT